GCTCCTGGTTGTTGCTTGAGCCAAATCGTCCAAAAACATGACGTATCAACGCAGTCGAGAAAAACAAAAACCCTTGGTGACTGTCCCATTCGTACCATGGGAAAACACGAGCCCGACACAAGGCGGTGACATCAGCCTACATCAAATGATTTACAGTGTAAACAACTGCCCACACTGTCCCTTTCAACACTTGGGTGTTGCAGTAACATTCTTGACTTTGAGTTGCCCTCTGACTCAATTTGTAGAAACCATTAGCAAGTGAGCTAGATGTGTTTGATACCCACTGGATTGTTTGGTGCCGGTTTGTGTTTTGCCAACTCTAACATTAGTGCCCCCTGCTGGCTGACATCACAGGGGCAGCTATACGCTGTAAACTGCCAGGCAGTTTCACATGAATGACGGTAAATGAGCAAGGGCTTGTGATCAAATGGGCTACTCCTTCAAGCGAGAGTGTGGCAGGATTCCCCCAGTGAGACGTTACTCTGTGAGCAGGTGAGGTGTAAATCTGAAGCAGCCCTCCGGACGCTAAGCGGATCCTTGGCCGTTTGCAGGATGGAGTGGTGGGATTCGTGTGGGTACCGTACCCTGTGCCTGCCTTCTGATGACAGTGAAGAAGATCAGGATGAGGAGGAAGATGTCACCAGCATTTTCTCTGTGGATTCAGACCGGACAGACATCCATTACGTTCTAGGAGATGTCACCCACCCCCACACTGCCCAACAGGACGCCATAATCGTGCACTGTGTTGGTAAGTGCCCCCTTCAGTTCTGTGCCTTCAGATCCCGCCATCTAGGTCGGTTATGGCTCTGATTCATCTCATGCCACTTTCTATGGGCGCTGAAATTATTGTTCTGTGTCCTGTTCATTGTGGGGGCCACATCGCGAGCTGCTGCAGACTTAGGTTGTACAGACTTCATCAGTTTTTAGGCATTTTTAAAGCGTAGTTCATGGGGAAAACTCACTCTGTGACTGCCGCAGATGACTCTGGGCACTGGGGCCGCGGTGGGCTTTTCACGGCGCTGGAGGTCCGGTCGGATCAGCCCCGCAAGCAGTACGAGTTGGCTGGAGAAATGAAAGGTGGGGGAAGCCGCCTGCAGGCGATGGTAACCCAACACGCTCTTTACTGACGGGCCGGCCCTCCGCAGAGCCTTGCTGGTTTGATGGCGTCCATGTTTGTGTTTCAGACCTGGAGCTGGGCCATGTGCTGCTGTTCCCTATTGATGACAAGGAGTCCAGGATGGACGGGCAAGACCAAGTGAGTGTAATTTCTGAGTCATAGTCATGCGAGTCACATCCTGTCTCTGCTCTGACGCGGTTATGGACATGATCGGGCAAGTTGTGCAGAACAGACATAGATGCTGGTTGTGAAATATTTAGATGGAAAAAATATTTCGTAAATTTAAATCGGCACATGAATCATACTCCTGTATCTTAGTGCAAATAATTGTTCCAGTTCAGCAGTTTGTGAGATGCATTAACCCTCAGATACTTGAACTACAGTTATCTGGTTTATCGATTAAGAAGCAGGGCAGTAGACATACTTTTTTATCAATAGCTTTTATTACGACATTATTTTTAAACAAATTCATCAAGGTATGAGTCTGCTGTTAGTGTGATTTATCATTATACCTGTGACACGCTTCGCTCCATGGTACACAGTGGCAGGGAGAGGTACTGTTCTAAAGCTGTCCTTATTGCAGTCTTTGGCATCATGCTATTTCAGCCCTCCTGGTGCCCACTGCATGATAAAAGGCGTCGTGAAGTGGGGGCAGGCCGGTGTGTTAGATGAGTGCAGCTTAATGTAGTTATGTGCATTCTGTGGGGTCCCCCTTTCAGTTAGCACTCATCATAGCTCAGCAGAGAGACCGCTCCAACAACCTGTCAGGCATCAGGCTCTCTGCCCTGGAGGACGGCTTGAAGAAGATATACAAGGTGGCCAAGCGGAAGAACGGTATGTGTCCAGTTATCACAAACATTACGGTCTCAGCCGACCCTCAGCTTCCTTCATCTACCTATCAGTATCTGACCACTTAAAGTACTGAGGGTCTCATTTTAATGAAGGTTGGCACATCTTCTGATAAACATGTTATTTTTGCATGCTCCTTTAATGCTCTCTGCTGGATCTCTCTAGTAATTGATCCTAATTAAATGTCTAATTGAGACCTCAACACAATGTATGAGTCAAACAGTAATGGCTTCTTGCTAGTTCCCCATAACACCTGCAATGAATTTGTATACATTTTGCTAGCAACAAAATTTGTAATGCATCTGAATTAGCTCTTTGACAAGTAAAACGTATATCATGAAGTAGACGAACTTGATTTTAATGCGATTAAACATCTCAAATATAATTAAAATTTGACATTCTGGGCCTTGAGGCCAGTAGCTGACATATTGGCAATCCAGTGGTTATATAACAAGAAGAAATAAATCATTCTGAAACATTACAGCATGGCGTTTCTTATGGATTCTACACACATGTTGGCTTTAAATGCCTGTCACATATGGTCGGACTAGACATATAAAAATTAAATGCTGGCCTATCGGAGACAGACGCTGGAAGCTAATAGGTCCAGTAGTTTGTCTTCAGAAGGGGTTAAACATTCTGTCCACATGCTGAGTCAAAACTTAACAGCTCCATGTGACTCAGCTTTTGCTGTTGCCTAGGGAAATGAAACCAAACCCAGTGATCCCACTTACTGATGGGTTCATGCTGATCTTTCCTTTGCTTCTCTGTCCTGTTTTGGTGCGATCGTAGACCACGGCTCACACACCTGGACAGTGCACAGCTCTTTCTAGTCACTCCCAGTGCACTGATAGGAAATAATTTGTTGGAAACAAATAAATTGCTGAAATTATCCATCCAGCCCTCTTCCAGAGGCTTGTCGGGGTCACGGGGGACCTGGATCCTGTCTCGAGCAGCACAAGTTTAGGGTGCCCTTTTGGGGGGGGGGGTGCCAGTCCATCGCAGGGCACAAACTTCCAAAAATGATTTAATCCTTTAATTTGGCAGTGGAATTCAGAATATTTACTCAAGCCTTCCACTTAAATTTAATCACGGTAATTAAAGTGAAGTCTGCCTTTGTGAAATCTGAGCACCATGTTTACAGCAGGTTTGTAGACTGAATAGCGAGTCGTGCAGAGCTGGAGTTGCCCATTGCTGCTGTAAGAATGTACACTAATAAAAAGGGTTTAGCATATACACTTGCTTCCCACAGCAATGTGGGCCCAGCTCACATTTCCCAGATGTCGTCTTTGTCTGTCTTCTAGCCAGATTTCTAGCAAGATCTTCTGCATGTCCCTCTAACAAGAAATGGAAGTGACCTTTTCAGTGGTTCTGCTTCCCCTTTTCCTTGGCAGCTAGTGTCCACCTCCCCAGGATTGGTCACTCCACAAAGGGCTTCAACTGGTACGGCACGGAGAGACTGATCCGGAAGCACCTGGCCTCTAGAGGCGTCCCTACCTACATGTATCCTTGCTGGGCTTGTTTCGTATCTGCGTGGGCTCTGTCAGCCCTCTTGGGAAGTAACTCTTTCTCTTATCTAGCCCTTGACGTTCCTGCGATAGATACTACTACTCGCGAGTGTCCAAGCAGGTGCCCTCAACATCACATGTGCCCACGTCACCTGCAACCCTGCCCTCCCCTGATAGCCCACATGGTGCAGATACTGCCAAGCACGACCAGGGTCCGAGCCCCCCCGCCCTGGCAGACTTCATGCATGGCATCCATGTTTTCTTTTACAATATTGCTGCCTCCTACAGGAAGAGCCTGGTGCGACACCTCATCGCATATCCTTTGAAGCCGTGTTAGGCGGTTAGCAAGGATCTATGGACGATACGTGGTACTTCGTAGATCAGAGACTTGTAGTTGTTTTCCTTGTGCTGTACTGCTTGTTTATCCTTTTTTCGTCTCAGGTTGACTAATCTCGATTTCAAAATCTGGTTTTGACACAGTACTGTTGGGCAATACAGTTCTTGAATTTTTGGAATGGAGGATATTTCATATCTACTGGTTATCTATTAAGGTAGCTTTACCTTAACAGCGAGCTACATACGATGGGGATGAGCACCAGATGATGAGTTCGGGAATCACGCACATCGTGGCTGAGGTGGAGACTCCTGTCCACAAACAGGTGATGACGGACATTCTTTTCACACTGGTGTATTTAACAAGGAGCATTTGGCTTTAACTATGATGAGTTGTTAAGGTGCAGAACATCAAGCGTCATCTGGGAGGATTTTCAAACGTTGTGGAGCAGTTTAGGTTATGGAGATCTCAAGCAGGAACCTCAGGGGAAGCAGTGGTGAAGGTCCTATTGAGGGTTAAACTGATAACCTTGCACACTGGCTTTGGGTCTCCGTGTGATTTACCTTTTTTTTTTGTTGTTGTTGAATGAATGTTACACTTGAATAGCACTTTAACCACTTGAACCACTTTAGCCACTTAAACCACCAGCACCGTGTAGCCCCCACCTGGATGATGCAACGGCAGCCATTCTGTGCCAGTACGCTCATCATACAGTAGCTAAGGTGGTGAAGGGGTAGGATTCACCAGTTGGATAGTGGGGGTGATTAGGAGGCCAGACTTGTTAGGGTCACAGTGGGCAATTTGGAAGTTTAGATTCTAGTCTTAAATCTGTTCCTGTCCTCTTAAGTCCAGATTAGGTTTAGGCAAATGTCCCAAGGTGTCCTGTGGAAGCTTTATAAAAATCTCTTGGATGGTTTGGATAGTTGGCTAGCAGGATTTAATCAAATTGCCAGGCAGGAGAATAGTACAGCAGGAATATATTGTCCAGGCGACTTGGATGAGAATTTGTACGTTCCTTACTTAATATTCCTCCACATTTCTCCAGGAACTGCTGGACTTCCTGGACCAGCATCCTCAAGCACTTCCTGTGCAGATGACATGGCTGGAGACCTGTTTCTCCGAGCAGAAGAGAGTCAGCGAGACTCACTTCCTCCTGGAGCTTCACTGACCTCTGCCCACAGTGCAGCTTCCTCAGCGATCTGGCACGCGTCTGGTTGTCAGTCGACTTCAGTGTGAATGTCTTACAGAAAATCCAGCATGCGAGACTGCAGGACTGGGGATGTTGGATGGAAACAGCCTTGGAGAGTGGCCTCCACACACAGAATATACATGGACATGCATCCCTGATTTTCTATATTTTATAGGGATGCTGAAACAGAAACGAGATTTGACCAGATGCTTAATGGAAATTAATCCTTTTGGTCCAGTCACGTATAGCATTGCCTGATAAATAGTCTTGTGGGAGGGGGGGGCAGCCTGTTTAGTCATCCTGCCGACACCGGACATTAACTGCACTGTTGTACCGCCCTCCTCTTAGTAAACTGATTTTTTTTGATTCAGTAAAAGACTCTACATCTAACGATGCATTTTGTTTGGCCTTGAGAACATTTATTATCTTTCAGATGCTTCCTGCTTGCTATCCACAGAGTATTGTAATAAAAACGAAAGTAAAGGTCAGTTTCTGGAAATTGCCACATAAATGTTGAAAGTAATTGTTTGGTAACACCGCTGTAACTTACGAAAGCAACGAGATCTTGGTCTTTACTTCCCTGCTTGCTTGCTAAAAAGCCGAACGCGTCCGTTTCGCAAACAAAACTTTGTAATAGGCCGAGGGCTTCGTATGTCTCTGCGGCACTGTCGAAAGTTTTTTTCGATTATAACATAAATTCACATATCAAAGTGACTGTGGTCTGCGCTTTGTTCAAGTTCGTGTGAGGAAAAAGATACGCATTTTGAAAATTATGCATATAAAATGTTCTGAGGCTATAAGGTAAAAAATGATGTAAATCGGTTATCTAAAATGGGTTACCTCGCAACATCAGTTAAGTTGACGAGCGCGTAAAATAGACCAAGTAGTATAGTAATGTAATGTGTGGACTGTGACTTACAGCGGTATTCTGGTCAGATTTCAGTAATTTCTTAATATGTAATAAGAATAAATCAGTAGAACCATGTGGTGGCACTATTAACGTTTGCGAGCGCTTCGGGTGGCTGATAACCCAGCGCAGACACTTCCGAAAAGGCGGCGTCCGACCCGCTGCTCCTCCTATGAGGTGCGGGCTCTCGGGGTTAAAGACCGCAGAAGTGCCCGGCACGAGCAGGATACGCAACGCCTTTATTATTATTGTTGTTTTAAATCATTTTTTTAGTCTTTTGCGCGTCCGAAGTCGTATCACCCATTGGCCCGATCCGGGGGTTAAGCGCGGCCCGCTAAGAGCAGTTAAGTGACGGTAAGTGCGCCTTCGCCTTCGCGTGCTGGGGGAAGTTACACGAGGAAAGTCGCTGCGTTGAACTTGACCTTGTTTTCGCTTATTGACGGTGGAACAAACCTGGCAAAAGTCCCGCAGTCCCATTGAACCGCAGAAGCCTGCTTCTCGGGGGGGATCAGACCTCTACCCGGGAAGACCACGCAGGTCTTCGGAACGCACCTTTAGGAAGAAATATTCTCAGTTTTCTTTCAACCGAACGGGTTTGTATTTAAAAACGAATAAGCGCTCGAGCTGACGAGGTTGCGAGGAGAAAATAAGCTTTTTACTTTATTTTTTTTTATTTCGGGGTGTTTGTAGTGCGCCCAGTGCCCGATGGTACCTTTTATTAGTATGGTAATGGGGAAACGCCACTTAATTACTTTTCAAACCAAGACATACAAATGTCTCTCTGGTTACGAATAAAACTTAAGATGTATCTTTTTAAAGATGTAATGCTGCTCTGTTTCCCTCTATAATTTTTTAATGTAGAATTTAGCATTTTAAAGCTCCATTATAACCTACTGCTGTCGTTGTATTGCCATCTTTGGTCTGGGTGTTTTTCTTATTACTGCCAATAATTTACTGACGCACACACTGCGTATTTTTTTCTATGTCTTATGAATTACCTATGAGTTTTTATAGGATGGTGTTTTGATCTGTTTAAGACAAACCATATATGTCGTATTTCAAAACAACACTTTTTACAAAGAAGAATACTCAGGTTTTTTTGTAATTTACAGAGCACTGAATCTTTTATTCGTTAAGTACAAGGAGTTTCTTTCGATGCGGGTGGTGTCATATCATGTCATGAGCAAAATTAAGCGCACAGCTAAATATGTAAGAGTAAGGATACAAGGACAAATAAGTCAAAAAATAAGTCTGAATTAATAAGAATTGTATGTACCAGACCCGGTTTCCTTTCCCGAAGGTTAGGCGACTTTCTTACATCGAAGAATAAACGTTTCCGATCGACACGGCTTTGATTTCTAAAGTGAAACACCGAATTTTAGCTCTTGAAGTTTTTAGTGAATTGCCTGGAAAATTTCACAATAAAACAAATTTACAATATATATTTCCTGAGTGGAAGCTGCGCTTAGGCCTAACTGTGTATAATTTGTACTGTTTAATTACTTATAAGTATCAAAGTTAATGTTTAATGAACGGTATGTCCCAGATGGCCTGACATGTTTAAGCGGAGTCCTGCCCGAGTGAAGCCGAAGATGCACTTCTTCTGGAGTGACGGTGATACAAATGTCTCTGCTCTTTATATCCACTGCTGAACTTCTTATTCCTGGATGAGATTTGGGTCATTTTTGGTCTGTCTAAGTAAAGCAATTGGTCTAAAAGAGGTCAAACCAGAAAACTGACTGCAAATGCTTTTGGTAAAACACTCTTGCAGCTTAAACTGAGAAACTGGGCTCTTGTGGTCATGTAGGTCAGTATTTCTCAAACCAGTCCTTGGGGGCCCCCCAGATGGGCCACGTTTTTGCTCCCTCCCAACGCTTGGGGAATTGGGAGGACTGGTTTGAGAAACACTGATTTTGGTGATGATGATGATGATGATGGCACTCCTGCTGCACCTGTGGGAAGATCATCTCGGCCTATTTGATCCTTTATCCACCTGTCTACGCTGCTCGCATGTGATTGGTGTAAAGGAACACATGGCGGCGAGCAGGACCCGATTTTAGATTACAGTGAAACCTGATGAAAATGAGAGTGCAGGTTTCTGAACAGCTCAGCCGTGCTTTCGGCCGGCCACAGATAACATCTCTGCTTGCTGGGGAAGTAGGAGAGCAGACGGCAATCGCGCTGTATGTTACTGATCTCGGCTCAAGATAAATGTGGCTGATGGGCGCATGGATTCATATATAAAATTAAAAAAACACAGCCCCGGTTGACCTACCTTCTGGAAAAAGTGACTTAAAAACCTCTTCCTTTTGACACAGCTCTCACGTTCACCCTGACAGAAGAAGAGCCGACACCAACCACTGAACATATGTGCGTGTTCAGCACTTTGTGTGCTGTCTGGTCTGTGTGCTACTGTGTCCTATTTAATTTCTTTTTTGCTTACAGGAAGGTGAAGTGGAATTTGTATTTATGTGGGTAAAACGCTTATTGGTTTTGCATCCTGGCTCTTTCTTGTAGTACATATCCCAATTTTTCACAACAGAATAACCCATTATTTACATGGGGAAGGTCACCAACTTGCGATCACAAGAGAGATCATTGAGATAATCATGCTTTTGACTGCGGTCCTGTATCAAAGGGCACCCCAGCCTGGTAATCTGTACGGAAACCATTCCTCCAGAGGCCTGCTGATTCCGGACTGCTTGCAAGGTGCACTGGGTGACATTTGGTGAATAGATGAAACAGTCCTGGAGGTGCAGTTGAGTACAGATGTGTTACCTAGAATGGGATCAGATGGCTTTGTAAATCGGCAGCCATTTTTTATATGGAGTGTTTTGTAATTTCAGTTTTCCTGTGGTTCCTTTTTTTTTGCTTTAGTTTCTCTTTTGTTTGCGTGTGAATGTCGGGGTGTAAAGGGTCACTGTATGCAAACTATAGGACATGGTCAGTCTGGAATGGTCTTGCTTCTTGGTGCGAGTCAGAGATGGGGAATTGGCATTTAATCCCAGTTAACTGCTTAAGCAATAGTAATATTGTCGATTGCTGCTGTGCCCAGCCTTGTCAGTCTTTAATCTGTCTGCCATTGGGTCTGAAAATGGATTCCGTTTGCTCAGAACTGGGCAAAAGTGGAGTTATCTTTACTGGTCGGTGCCATTGTAAAATTGAGGGGAAACTGGTTAGGTTCTTGTTTTGATTTTGATAAATAATAGCAAAAATGAGCCTTTCCAAAAAACAGCAAGTCCTCTGCTTTCAGGGGACGACATCGCTGGACTGTTACTGCTGTCTGGGAGTCCCGTCAGTTAAATTCAGTGACGTTGTTTTTGTGTCAGATTTTACCTGAAACGGAATGCTACATTTCAAAGAAAAGGGGGTCAGGAGGCGGGTTGAGTGCTTCTTCCGAAAAGCATTGGCCTGTTAATACTCCACCGCAGCCTCTGTCGCCCCCTGCTGCGGTGGCCCACACTGCTGACCGTGCAGGTTCTGCTCTGCAGGTTCCTGGGTGCTTAAGGAGATCTGGGTCTCCTGTTCTGCTCCCCGGAAGCCACTTTTGTATGAGTGTCTTCATTGAAACGCTCAGTTAGCTACAATCCGAGCTGTGTATTTAACAGCACTGTAACCGATACGTAGCCAGTTATGAGGGCCGAAGGGGGCAGAAAAGCTATATGGGCAGGTACTGGTTTTACTAGTTTTTATTTGATACTTTGCCAGCTACATAAAACCACTACAAACAGCAGTTGGAGCTCAGTGAGAGCAGACTGAGCTGTGTGATGTCAGGTTTCCATCAACTTTAAATTTATTACGTTTTTATCGGCGGGTATGTAAACCAACTGTATTTTAACAGGCCGTGGCTGTTGGGTTGTTTGTATCTCAAGAGTCAGATACCCTTGAGTTATAAGCTTAAGGTATTAGCTGTTACGCTTCAGGATAGATGGCTTTTTTTCTTCTTGAACATGTCGAAGTTGGTTTTTAAACGCCATTGTTATTCAGAATCACTACATTGTCTATTTTCACTGTAATTTGTACTATCTGTCAATCGTAAGTCAGGGACTGAAAGGTCCGTATAGGGAGTTAATCTGTTGCGGCACTTCGTTGGTGCGCCTGCTGATGTCTCCGTGTCCGGCGCTTTGCTGCAGGGCGGTATGTCCGGCCTGGGCCTGGCGTGTCTGGCAGAGTCCCGCGTGTGAAGCAGCATCATGCTCCCGACTCTGGACTTCTCCACCCCTGCACAGCACTACAGGTAGTGAAGGTTTTTTTTTTTTTTTTATAAAAATTACTATTTAAATTTTTTCCCTCACAGCTGGTTACATTTGAAGAGTTGGCATAGGGGTCGACGTGCGGATGTTGCGGGGGGGGGGTCAGGCAGGCAGGTGGGCGGGCGGGCCTCTCCACCTGACTTCAGAGGCTTCTTCTTTTGTGAGAACTCGCCGGGTTTAGAAAGCTGACTTGGTGTTGCTATCACACTGCTGATCTGTGCGGTTTCATAGACTACCTGTGCGGCATTGTAAACAAAGATGCTACGCTTTCGGTTTCTGAGTCCTGCTGCTAGACAAGCGCCCGCCAGCGTCCGTTGAAGCCCTGTGCTCCTGAACAGCAGTTTTCAGGCCAGCCGAGTGCTTGGGGGGGTTGGAGGGGCATGAGGCAGAGGCTGGGCACGTCAGTGCCTGTTCTTCTATGGATTAATTGTCTCTTGCTTCTAGCCATGATACCAGCGTTGCCAATTACTGGAATTACCTTTTTGAAAAGAAGGGCAGGCAGAGTCTCTATTCTCCTCTTTAAGTATAATTATGGCCTGTTATTCTCTGTGTAAATGCTGCTTATGGTAATTTTCAGTTTTCACCCCCCGGGATCTGAGGCCAAATGTATTTGTCAGAGACATGCTGACAGTTTGATGCCTTGAGGAGCTCTGCTTATGTGTGTGTTTCTCCTGAATGGTATTTTTTGTTCTTGGTGTGTTTTTGATGTGTCTTCGCTTGCCCTGTCAGCCGCTGGTTGGAAACGGCATGGAGAGCAGGCAGGAACCTTTGGTTTCTCATCTCCATCTCTGCTCCTATGGCCTCCGCTCAAATGTGCTGTGGGATCTGTCGCCCGTTAATCGGGCTCTCGTTCTCCCTGAGCCGAAGGTCGGGGGAAATTCTGGCGGGATGTTTCTGTACCTGTCTTGTTTCCCGGAGAAATGGCACAAGTTTAGTCCTGCTGTTGAGTTGCAGAGGCTTTGATGAAATTCATGCCATTAAACAGGGGTGGAAAGACATCCTGATTCGACATTGCATCAATATTTGTCATTTCAGTATGCGTTGCGATTTTGAGAGTGATGTGTGCCCTGTGGTGTGTTGGCGCCTGCCCAGGGTTGGTCCCCGTCTGTGCCCGTTGTTCCCGGGATAGGCTCCGGCCCCCCCACGACCCCAGTTGGGATTAAGCGGTTACGAAAATGGCAGGATGGATGTTGCACTTTTGTTTCGTTCATTTTACTTTTTGCTGAAGAGACGTTAAATATCGCTTAAAAATGTCTGCTGCTTTAAACATGATTCCTCTTGAGCATTTTGGGTCTACATTTAAAACAGTAATTGTCTTGCATCATAGAGCTTTTATTGAGCTCTACTCAACAAATAAATATTCAAAGAAAAAGATTTAGTATAAAACTGTTCAGTACAAACTTCAATATCTACAGGAGGTAGGTACTTCATTTATCAACTGAGGTTGATGAAAATGTGCCAAGTTGCATGCACACCACAATAATTACCTTTGTTGTACACCGCATGTATGCTACTGCGAACAAGCAGGAAACAAAAATTACATCTCAACTGACAGCTTGATATCGTGAACTGAAAAATGCCTTGCTAAATGTCACGGTTGTAAAAAATGAACTGGAATTCTTTACAGTAGTGCTGGGCGATAAAATGATCTCGATTTTTTTTTTTTTTTTTTTTTTATCGATAAAAAATGAGGACGATCACGATGATACACAGACTATAAAACTCGATCAACCAAGTTTAGTCCGTTTTAGAGAATGCGCTGAGACAGACAACTCGATGGACTATCGAGCAGAGCCAGCACAACAGCCAATCACCGACGACGTTGTAATTTTGCAATGGGTGCCTTCGACTTGGGCTTAGGTCTGTCTGCAACTGACGTGACGTGGAGCGAGATCTGCTGGCGGCTGCAGGGGTGGAGTATAAACTGACTGCAGCCAAGTCGGACAACTTCTACTCCTCGTAGTCTGCGAGACCTGACTGCAATGGCAGCACTTCCAGAAGGGTGTAGATAAATCTATACAAATATCACCTGCATGCACATTACTTCTTTTACAATAACCAACTCCTGATGCAAACTGTTAGCAGTGAATAAAACTATTGTCGATAGTGGCTCTGTGTAAAAAGATAGCTGCCAGGAAAAAGATCAAATACATGTATTTCAAGGATTCAAAGTTGTCATGTATAGAGTACAATGCAATTCTTACTTGAATGCCTTCTTCACAGACTGGACGATTAAACAAATAAAGCAGCGCAACATTATAGTAACTAACAATAAATAAACCACTAACTTACGTGTACTGTTAGAGCATTTATGTAATTTATTTAAACTTTATTTTACCAGGTAAATTAACTGCTTTACCTGCTTTTCGGGAGAAATAGCAGATAACGCATTGGAACTTCCTGGGATACAAACGTCATGCGTGTGACTAAAATCTTCAGCCAATAAGGGCAAAGTTGTGTCGTAACGGAGGCGGTTCCAGTTTGTGCTGCACGGTCTGTCTCAAGTCGTCTTGCTCTCGCGGGGATTTTGTACCATGTGACATGGTGGCGCAGTGACGTTTTGCATCGCCGGACAAAAAAGTCTAACCATGATTTGTCATTTTTATGAATAAGTGTTTTTTGTTTGGTTTAGATACTTTTCTACCTCAGAATTTTAAAAAGTTTTTAAGAGACCAAGAATAGAGGAAGATACTTGCAGTCAGTTCTGTTCTGCTTTATTTTTGCTATTTAACATATTTGCAATATTATACAGTTTTGCACATTGTTACATTATTATATGGTTTTGCTCATTTGAGCTATGTTTCTCTGAATACTTAAATCAATAACCTTTTATAATTTTAATGGAATTTTGTATGTAAACAGTAAAATTTGTTGGAAAATAAGTATTTGTTTACTAATATTGTTTATTTCTATGTATTCAATCTGTCAGAATAGGGTTATTTTTTATTATTTTGATTATTACATTATTACATGGAACAGCATTGTGAAACTGTAATATTGATAATTATTAGGGGTGTAACGATACACCAAAGGCACAATTCGGTTCGGTTCACGGTTTTGGAGCCTCGGTTCGGTTCACGGTTTTGGAGCCTCGGTTCGGTTCACGGTTTTGGAGCCTCGGTTCGGTTCGGTTCGGTTTCTGTTTGCTGTGGGGTTAGGGTTGATGTAATCTTAACAGCAATGCTAAGGAACAATAGACTCACTTAATAACAAGAACAACTAAACTTTTTCTTTATTAACTTTGCCATCACATTTTTAGTACAGTCAGGATACCTGAGTAAACAACAAAAATTAAATAAATACCTCCAATATAGACTAGTCAGAAAAAAACAATTCTAATACTAACTTTAGAATATAATATTTAGAACAAAATTTAGAACAAAAGCTCATCATTACTAATACAATTTAATCAAATGTGATAAAATAAAGATGTGTTTAAATTGGTTAAATTAGTTAGAGACAAATGACGTCAACCTCAACAATGGGCAGCAGGGGGCGCGTGAGTACCGCGGTACGCCACGAGAGTTTCGCAATACGTATCGTGGTTGGTGTATCGCGATATTTCGGTTCGGTTTGTAATATCGTTACACCCCTAATAATTATCGATATTGATCAATACAGGAAAAAATATCATGCTAATTTTTTTTTTTTTGCCATATCACCCAGCTCTACTTTACAGGATGTTGATTGCAATAATAAGTTATCCGCTTAGTTATGTCTCTGCTGCCTGGGAGGCTGCATAAAGTTGTGATGAGGGTTTGTCGCCTTGTTCAAGCAGCTGTGGGTTTGTGGACGTCCAGTGTCGGGAAAAATGTGCCGATGCTAGTGCCGTTATCACCATAATTAACTTGCAGATATCCATACTCATGTCTAGGTCTGCGTTTATTTTATAGACTACAAAGTTTGTCCAAACGATGTCTGGGAAAGTCTGTGCACACGCTTGCTTATTCATGATGGCACTGTCCCAGACTCATGCGTGTCTGTCCCTTAACAAAATCAGACTATGTACAACTGGGCAAATATATTATCAGTATGCAAACAGAGATCACGGTAACCTAAGTTTTTAAAGTGGTTTTAAATATTGATTTTTAAATTCTATTGTTACCCGAAAGACTTGTGATTTGTAACTGAATTTTTTCCCCCTTCCCCTCATCTCTGCCATTAATTCTCCGGCTTGTGCTGAGTTTGACTTTTTTGCGCCGTGCCACTCTGTATCGGCAATGCTTGTGCATGTTCATTGCCACCACGCCGATGGTAATCTGTGAGGCAGGAGCTAGGTGTTGAATGTACACTCACAACGTTTTCAAATACACAGGATGCCTATGTGTAGGCAGCGGGGATTATGGAGATTTGAGTGTTTTTGCGAACTCTTTAACTAAAACACATTGTTCGGTATGCACAGTGAAATATTATATCTTAAATGCCATATACTGTGTGGCTTGAATCATCTGGTGTCTTGGCGCTTCGAGTCACGCTTTTAACATGCGTCACCTTGCTTTTCTGCATCGTTAAGTTATTAAGTCCCGTGCAGACAGAGCTAGTGCATTCCGATGAACACTTGTGACTGTGATGCCTTCTAGGTGGAGTTGATGATTAATGGGAGCCATGGATGTGACTCAGTCAGGTGTCCTGATTGAGTTTCACAATCGCCCCCTGTTGAAGTTTGCTTGCTTATGAGTTTGTTGGATGATTCGGCTGCGCACTGCTGTGCAGGTCATAGTAAATTCACACTTCCCTATTGTCACTGTCCAATGGAAAAACGTCTATCTCCAATAATGTAGTTTGGAAGCGTGGAAAAAAAAAAACACACTTTCTCAAACTATTTTATTAAACAAATCGAAAACTACGTAATTAGATATCCATAGCACCACAAATAGAAACTTACTGTAACACAGCCATCAGGGAATGGTTTGTTTAAAATGGCCTTGCATGGATTGTCAGCAATACAAATATGTCAGTGTCATCAAAATGCGTATTTAATCTCACATAAATTCACAATTAGCAATGATGTTGGTTAGCTTTTTAACTGTCAATGTTGTTATAATCAGCTATATAAAGTAATCCATAAAAACAATCAACATAATGTTTACTAGTACAAACACATACAAGATAATGACTTATTAAAAGCAACTTTTCGTTGGTCAATTAGATGTCAAGCATTATAAGCAGACTTGGGAGAATGGGCATATTCCATTTATAGAGTAAAGTCACAATTGTCGGAAAAGTGGATACACATGGTTTCCGTTGGACAGCAAATGTATAAGTAGATGTCAAAATAGCTACTATGAAATTTTACTATTCCGAGAACGGACACATCCTGTGGCTTTATGGAAAATTATTTGCACGCGACGCTGGTTTGCTGACGGCTCCTGTCCCTCCACAGATACATGGCCCAACAGGGCTGCAGCCTGCAGTCTGAGTCGCTGAACCATCCCGAAGAGAATGATGAAACCTTGGGAGAGGAACCCCCTCCCAGTGCTGGTTCTGAGGCCCGTTCCCACCCACAGAGCCTCTCTCCTGTCAGAGGCAGGATGGCGGATCGGCACCGGCTAGGCCAGGAGCCCGCTCAGCCCGGATATAGGCCAGTCCTGCTTCCCCTGGTCCTTCCTGCCAGCTACAGCCCCCCGACGACGTTTCCCAGTTGTCCGCACCCCACCCTCGACAGTAGGTGCTCTGATGTCAGAGATCCCATCAGCCTGCCCTCCTGCCTGCTCTCCTCAGACTACTCCAGCTACTCGGGCTCCCGGGAAAAGTCGCCGTCCCTGTCCTGTCGAAGCCTGGAGCAGCCGCACTCGCTAATCTCAAACCCTCCGTGCCCTGGCCCATACAGTTACCATCCGCTCCGGTACCCCTGCGGGCCCCTCGGCCCAGCCTACTGCCCCCAGGTTCCTGTGGCTCATCACCAGGCCTGGCCGGCTTTCAGGCTGCCCTACAGGCCTCCAGGTGAGTTGCTGGCGGTGGTAGCACTGCTGAGTGTCTCAGACTCTGCTGATGAACCGGATCCCAGTTAACTGGTTATTCGTCTGAGTAACGGATGCCGTCGGGCATGGGTTATGTCTCACAGCTGCATGGTTCAGCTACCGGTGATTCAGGGGCGTGTTTAAGTCGACGCACCAAGTTGATTATGTGGAGACGTACGTCTGGTACTTTGGAGTCGTCTGAGGCTCCTTTAATGAGTTGGGAACCCTACTCTCTCTGGGCGTGTGTGTGTCTGTTTGTATAGGTAAGATTTTTTTATTTTTTCCTCCCCCTCCTGTTCCCTTCAGGTCCCAACCCTTGCGGGTGTCACAACACGGATGTCTCACACAGGTGAGTCAAACCCCACTCCCCATCTTACACTACTGGCTGTGTTGTTGTTATATGCCATGGAGTGTGATGCAGGAAGACTTGCTCTGAAGTGCTTGTTTTTGTCGTCCGATAGCGTGTACCCACCTCCACAGCCCAGACAGAGGCAGACTGCCCCGGGTGGTCCCCTCTCCATAGAGCAGCGTAAGTACTGAAAGCCCCCCACCTGCTCTGAATGGCATCACAAAGATAATGTGCTCCCTGTGTTTGTGTTCCTTACCGGCCTCTCTCTGCCCCCACCCCGCCTCCAGGGAAGGTGTTTGTCACGTACGAGGCTGACAACGACAAGCATGTTGAAGAGATAATCAAGTTTGTGGCTTTATTGCGACACAATGGCTTCGACATGCATGTAAGACACCTGCTTCTTAAATTGTCTGTAGACCAGCGTTTCTCAACCCTGTCCTGCTCCCTCCCAGCTCCCCGTCATACAGTCCACATTTTTGCTCCCTCTCAGATCATAACACTGACTAGGAGGGAGCAAAATCATGAATTTTCGGGGGGAGGTTGAAAAACGAAGGGTAGCTGCTGTTGTAGGTTTGCAGTTAGTAGGATGCTCTCCTGCTGTATTTCTGGGCATAAATATGTCAGGAGTCTCTCTCATTCCCTCATCCTCTCCTTCCACTTACAGATTGATGTGTTTGAGCAGCAGTTCAGAAGCATCAGCACAATTGATTTCATGGAGAAGTACATCAGCGAGGTAAATAGTGGGTTTCCCTGCACCATGGCCTCTGCAGAGGCTGTAGTGCAGCGTCTGTGAGAACGGCATCGCTTTCCAAAGGCCGTCCTCCCTTATTGGAGCATTTAAGCTTGTATCTAATCTGCGGCCTACATTTTGTTTGTTCCCTGAGCTGTGCCTCTGTCTTGCAGAAGGACTACTTGATCATCATAGTCATCAGCCCCAAGTACTACGAGACGGTGACACATGGCCACGTGAGCATGGAGGGGGACGAGAGGACCATGAACACAGTCTACATCCACAAGCAGGTACGTCACCCGGGTCCGCCGCTGTCGCCGTGGCGTAACTGCAGGCGCAGGAGATGCATGTTCACAGTGACGAACAAACCAGACTCTATAAACACTTTGTCAGTCAGTGTCAAAGTTGACAGCCTTCAGATAATCTAAAGAACTCCCCATGTCACAGACTGATGAGTACACCGTTATGACGAGGGATCGTCGCCCCAGGCAACTGCACACTCAGTGTTCCCCCCCCCCCATTTCTGCTTCAGTTGCAGAATGAATTCATTCAGAATGGCAGCCGCAACTTCCGCTTCATCCCAATCCTGTTTCCTGGAGCGAAAAAGGTACAGAGCAAAGGAAAACGACCGGTGCGGACACTGTCCGCTGGCGTGACACAGCAGTCTGACTGGGTGGTCTGTATTCACTCACTGTTGCAGGATAGTCATTATGCTCCAGTCTAAACACACAAGTTCCATTGGGAAGGATGTGATGCCAGCAAGTGCAATTTAGTGCTGCATTTTTATTTAAGTGTTCAGGTTGACACACCTGTGCGGTTTAAACAATGTCAGACAAGCCAAGGCAGGGAATCACTGGAGCCTGTGGTGATGAATGTAGCTGTCAGTACTGTGCCAGCTGAGATTGAGCAACTGTGTGAAACGAATTTAAGGATGAAAATAATGATAAACTGCAGGAACCTCAATTGCCCAAATCACTTTTTTTTTTTTTTAAATACAAACCTGTAATGTAAGCATCGCTGTTTCTTGACATGGCTGCGAGTCAGGCTATAAAAAACCATATAAATGTGGCAGAGGGCGTTAAGCACGTTGCAGGTAAAGGGAGGCAGGTTACTGGTTTGCTGACAGCTGAAATGGTCCTCTTCCTCAGTGCCACGTGCCCACCTGGCTTCAGAACACCCACGTGTACAGCTGGCCCAAGAACTGCGACGACATCCTGCGCCGGCTGATGCGCCTGGAGAAGTACAACCCCCCGCCTATCGGCGAGCTGCCCACCATCATTTCCATCCCGCTCTGACGCTGCCGCAGAGTCCTGCCTTGACCTTTGCTTTGGAGTGCATCGCCTCACAGGAAAGTCCCTTGGTGCCCCCAACCCACAGGGGTGAACTTGCGGCTCTCGCCGGGCCCCGAGGCTGGTCCACGTCACGGGTGAGGGGGTACTTCACTTTCAGGCTCGTCACAGGAGTGGTGATACCTCCACCCACCAAACTGTAAAGTTTTAACTCTCGGTCTCTATGGCTTTTCCTTCCCTGATCTTGCTGTACAGAGAATTAAAGTTCTTTTGATGCGACGTTTGGGTGTCTAAGGGCCATTTCTCTTCAAAAACCTAAAACGGTCTCCACACACGCACAGGGAGGAGACAGACAGGAACAGAGCCCGATTCCCAAAGGGCTGAGCTGCATCTGGAAGAGAAGGCTGCCATTTCGCCAGGGTACAGCAGACATATCCAGACAAATTAAAGAACGGGTTTAAGGCTTTACCGAAATCCCTCCAGTGATAAAGCTTAGACCCAGGGAACGTGCCAACAATGTAAATACTATAAAATACTAAGAGCCATGACGTCAGCAAACGCCCAAGCACCTGCGTACAGGCGTGGGCAGGGAAATAAGCAAGGTGACCCATCTTTCGACAGTTGGCATGTTTGGCCTCAGCGGCGGGCTGCCCTGCTGCGCGGTGGGGGAGGGGGGAGTCCCAGGCATGGCAAAGTGCCGTTTCTAACCAGGCTGGTTCAACCTGCAGAAAAACACATGGTGAAATGTGGAAGTAGGCCACATTCGATGTTTAACAAGGCCAGGATCGTGGGAGTGAAGGTGGGATGATTCTTAGCAATTTTAGTAACCTTACTCGACAGTCATTGAAATTACAGAATGTTACCATTTCCAAGTGAAAATAACTTGTTTTTTTTGGCAAAAAGCATAATAGTTTTAGCTGGAGTGATTCAGCCGGACCTTGGCTGCCAATAACTAGCCAGCCTACATCTGAATAACGTGAATCCCAGGACCTGCGTACAATGCCGAAGTTAAAATCTGCTCATTAGAAAATATCGAGGATACAGAAATTTGAAAGAGCAAAGAGAGGGGAACAATGGCTCCGTTTTTCCTCAGCGAACATCTGTTACCTTAGTGTTTGTCTATACCGTTTCCATGTCATCGAAATGAATCGCTTACTTAAACTCTATGGCTGTTAATAAAATGAGCTTGCTAGTCCAAATAATCGTTAATAAAAAGCACTTGTTAAAATCTTCAGTTTACAATTTGCTGTTCTTTTTGAAGTTTACTGGGGGAAAGCTAATATAGTTCATGCCCACTATCTTCGTCAGCTCTGCCCCAGCGTTTCCTGCACAGATGCAGCTTCACAGCAGGCCTGGGGGGGGGGGGGATGGTGACATTTTGTCAGAAGGCCCATGATTTCTAGGTGCACCCCTGTAGAGTACCTGTCCTATGAAGTCAGAGTTTTATCCAGCCTTAAAACAAAGTGAGTTAACTTGATGCAGCAGAGTGAGGCCAAATAAATAAATAACCAGTTGTTCATGTTTTTTTTGGCACTTCATGGTCTTTAAATACACTTTGGTTAGAAACAAATTACATAAAGGAATACCTGTTCTTCAAGGGGGGGTGGAACAGGCCCATAGCTGCCACACCCTACAGGGAATTAACAGCATAATTGTGTGTGATAGTACATCATTTGCTCTGGGCATTTCTGAGCTGCCCCCCCCACCCCAGCCCACGTTTTTACCTCCATGACAGCATTTTTCTCATGAATTTCAGATGGAAATCAGCCACATCACTGAAGGAGAGATAAAATGAGAATGATAGAGGGGGGGGACACACGTGATCCCTCCCCCTGGCCATCATAGGCTATCCCCAACTAGGTTAGGACCTCACAGCCCCAGTGCATTGTGGGGCCAGTCCTGCATGTGCATCCAGCTGCCCACCTACCAAACGAGCGGTCTCCTTCCACGTGGCCCGCGAGGTGGTGCCACAGCAGACAGCTGGTGACGCGGGCGGCCAGATGACGTAAGCTTCCGCGTGGGGACAGTCACATAGCCACGCCCAGACTGGCACTATCCTAAAAGCAAAGAAAATCAAACAAGCCAACGTAGCGAATGTTAAACGTTACACATCTCATTACAACAGACACGACGCCCTACTTACAGAGACACGTCAGTGAGTTCGGCTCCCCGAAAGGTTACGCCATGTGCTTCATGTACAGACCGCAAGAGTATTTGATTCAGTTCGATTAGGAAGAGGACGCCAGCACACGGCACCACCTTGTGGACAAGCGTAATTCCAGGCAAAACAAGCTCACAACAAATCAACTTCCAAGTTCCTTGCCTCACCCCCCTAAAGTCCAGGGTTCGAGGCTCCACCGTGGCTCCATGTCTGGAGTTTGCATGTTCTCCCCATGTCATCATGGGGCTTCCTCCGGGTACTTTAGTTCCCCCCCCCACAGTCCAAAAACATGCTGAGGCTATGAGAGAGAGAGAGAGAGAGAGAGAGAGAGAGCAAGCGTGCCCTGCACCCGGCAATGGGTTAGCGGCCAGCGATGGGTTAGCAGCCCATCCTAGCGCCTGTAGACTCCAGCCCCCCCACAACCCTGAACAGGATAAGCAGCTAAAGAAGATGGATGTAGATTATCCTAATAGATACTAACTTAGGTAAAGCATAGGCAGCTGATCATCGTGTATAATGAACCAGGGACCCACAATGCAGGGGAGGGACTCCACACCTTCACCTGTCAGCAAATGAGCAGCAGATTCCTGTCAGATTTACCTACAGCCTGCGGCTCAAAACCAGGAAGACAGTATAGATGCAGTCGGAACTGGAAAAACACTGGCAGAAGGAAGCTCCCCAAACTGGAAACTGCTGAAGGGAACAGTGAGGGGAGTGACATTCCAGAGCAGAGAGGCTTCAGAAATACGGGCAAATTAGAGATGCTTCTGGAAACAATACTGCAAATCACACGTTTCAGATGGATGGTTTATCAATGCATCACACAAAACCATGAAAAGGCATGAAGATGCAGATTCCAGATAAACAAAGGATTTAGTCAAAACATTTAAATTTGGGACTTGACAAGAACAACCGTCACCATCACAGTGTTATGTACAAGTAGACAATCTGATCACCTAACATATTAAAAAAAAAGATCTAATAAATTACACATTAAAAAAACAGCATTTTCATTTGAATTAACACCAGATCAATTTTGTTATGACATACAAACTAGGTAAGTTACCAGCTTCTGCTCTTAGTGACTACAATGACCAAAAAAGCCAAAGGATTTGTGCAAATACTGTATATAATCCACAAACATAAGTGTAAATATCTACAAGTCATGAAGGTTTAGGAAGGACATTGTCAGGGCTGACCATTACGCAAAATGTCTGTACTCAAAACCTAAGCCATCAAAAATAAGCTAGAGCCGTGTACGTTGGGCCCTTCCATCATTAGCATCATGATGTGTGGCTCAGTATGTCTCATGAACAAACACCAAAACTAGCATGGCATCTGCCATCAGGAAAATCAGACCATTTTCTCGGCATGAGTAACCCAGGATGTCCAGCCCCCACACGGCACTTCCATGGAAGTCTATACCCCACGTCACCTCCAGGGGGCGACACCAGAGTCCCGGCCCCGAGGTCTTACTTGGCGACATAACCCAGTAACGTCCAGATCGAGCCCAGATCACAAGGTGCGTCCGCTGGAGGCGGGTGGGCTGGACCTCGGACCCCAGGGGACACGGGGCTCGTGGACAAGGTCCCAAATGTAGGTCTACGTACTGGCACAAGTCAGGACACAGACCGACCACTTCAGAAGGGGGGGGGGGCACTCTGACAAGCCCCCCCCAGGGTGTGAGACATCAGGACTGAGGATGATGGTGTGAAGCAGTAACAGCCATCACTGGTGGCGGTGGGGGATTGGGTTGGGGGGGGGGGGGTTGCGTTAGTTAAACATGATGGAGTCTGGGTCCTGGTTCAGCATCTGGGCCATGTGTCTTAGAACATCTTTCTTTGTGATGATTCCCAAGAGGCGTCTGAAAGAGAGACACAGGAAAGCATGACCTCAGAGCCTCCCCAAGACAGAGAGGGGGGGCCACTGCTGCTGTCAGAGTGCCAGGGAAAGCAGGGCTGGGGGGGTGGCTTACCCGCTGCGGGTGACCAGGCACTGCCTGAGGCCCAGCTTCCGGAAGATGTCCACCACGGTCTCCATGGGCGTGTGGTCGGTGACGGTGAAGGGGCTCAGGTTGAGGATTCGGCGCAGCTTGAGCGGCTGGGGGGCGCTGGCAGGCAGCGGGGGGACCTCCTCACTGAAGTACACTACCGAGCCACTCACCACCCCCTCCTGCTTCTGGCGGGCGGTTTCTGAAAGAAGGAACCGCCATTGGAGTGTCGGCTTTGGCTGGGACACAGAGATGTGACCAGACCCCCCAGCACAGCCCCTGTGGAGCCTAGTCACTCGGCAAAACTGCCAAATTATCTGCCAAATTCAACAGCAGCAGCTGGGAATGAAAAACCGAATCAATACGGCAATACGGTTCGCAGATGACTGAAGAGCCTGAGGGGAGAGCATTTTAATCCTTAAATCCTCAACTTCTGATCCTAAAGGTTTCAGCTCATGTCCTACAAAAGCAAAACAACTATAGTAATACATTTTACAGGCTGCTCAGCATTTAGCCTCACAAAGTGAAAGTGACGTTTGCAGGGGATTGTGGGTAAGGACGAGGCTCTTACTGATGGCCAGCGTGAGATCCCGGCGCTGCACAAAGCCGACAAGGCGCTCCGATTCACGAGACACCACTACGGGGAAGCCGTTGTAGTCCGTCTCGTTGATGAGCGCCTCTACGTCCTCCACGGTTGTGCCCTCCCGGGTGAGCACGGCCAGCGGGGGCTCTCCGCGCCGCGGACGCATCACGTCGGCGGCCAACGTGCGGTGCGTGAACTCATCCTTCACATCGAGGAAGGGGTAGCCGTTGAGCTGGATGTGCGCCTCGTAGATGCCCTCTTTGCCGAAGGCGTCCGCCACCCACTTGCTAGTGACGGCGGCGGCCATCAGCGGCACGATGTACTCCAGTCCTCCCGTCAGCTCGAACATGATGACCACCAGCGACACGGTCATGCGTGTCACTCCTCCTGAACACACGGAGGCGACAAGACATTCAGCGTGCAGCCAGAAGGATAACTAATGTGCTAAATCTTAAACTAATTTGATTGTGATGCAGTACCTGGCAGCTATAAGTGTTTTGTAAACATTTCTGTTGACTTGTATTTTTGGAAAAGGGGAAATGTGTTGGTCTTGGACACGATCAACGTGAACAGTTAAGGTCAGTAGGAGGGCACAGCCAAGTAACCACACCACAAACAGACAGATGGGGGCGCCTGTGCTCCACTTACCCAGACACGCTGCGGCCCCCACCATGGCGTAGAGTCCTGGCGTCACACAATCGGCCCCCGGCCGACACCAGCTCCTAAAGATGATCCAGTCGTGATGGTGGTACGCCATCTGCTCTACGGCGATGCCCACGATGCGCCCGGCGATGGCACCCACAGCCATGCTGGGGATGAAGAGGCCGGAGGGGATCTGGGGACAAACCGAGGAAAAGCGCTCTGAAGCTGAGAGGGGAGGCTTTGCCCAGTGGGGACAGGCCCAGAAGTGCAAAGCTTCCATTGGTCATTAAGAAGGGCACACATGAAATCTGGGGGAACGTGCCAAATCAGTTCAGAATAGTATCTTACAGAAAAGGTACAGTGGATGGACAGTGATGGAGACTGAAACCAGCTAAACAACCAAATTTGATAGGAATGCATCCATACTAATTGGGGTCTGATACTGCGCTCATGTCCTCATACTTGTGCCGATGCCTATAACCGATACCACTTAATGACGCATCAGCAATCTCACCGACGAGCAGAACAAATGACACAATATCTGCAGAGTGGAAATACTTCAAAGTCAACAGCGGAATCCAGAGCATAGCGGACTGCGAACAATGCCCTACTAAACGATCGATAGGCGGTACGAAATCAGGTTCACACAGCACTAGTGATCTAATTAAACATCTAAACGTAAGGGAGTACGCTGAAATTGCCGTCAGCAACACTCTGCAACAATCAAACGTGCAGCAAAATCTAGCAGAGAAAGAAAAAATGTCAAATGATGAACCTCATGTAGTGAAAATAACAGAAGCTCTTAGCCAATGGTCATAGGTGGAGAGCGTAATACTTTCTGAGGTGCTAGGTGGTGTAAAACGTTTGTGAACTACTGCTCTAGAGGTCTTAGAGTGACATACTGTTAAACGATAATAAACCCACTAATCCATTGTTTTCCGGGGACCAAAAAAAGGGTCATCAGCATTGCCATCATCCGCCCTCCCCCCAACGCCGGCTGATTAGCAGATTGTCTGTATATCATTTTTTCAGATTTTCAAAGTTTTATTTGTTTTTACTATTTTTTTTCTTTAAAAAGTGCCCTGCTTGATGCTGAGATTGGGGGGCAGGGGAGAATTTCAGGATTATCCTTTTAGATATCACACAGCCTTAACTGGTATCGGCGAGCATCGGTACTCGTACTCGGTCTGAAAGGAATGGCATCAGTGCATCCCAAAAACGACACAGCGAGGAGGTTCAGGATCGCTGACCTTCATGCCGAAAGTGAAGATGGTGATGACCACCTTGAAGACCAGCGCCAGGGCCAGCTGCCAGAGGGCGGCGTAGACCCCAGCGCCTGCCGGGCGATCGGGGATGTCGTCCACGGGCCGGGTCATGTTCGGGTCATTCACGTAGTCGCAGAGCTGGGAAGAGGCCAGGGAGCCGCAGTCGTTGAAGAGTTCAGAGATGAGCTGGCTGGTGCTGCGGCGGGTGTAGGGGTTGGGGAAGGCCAGCAACGCCGTCAGCCCCGCCACCACCAGCACCTCCAGCACCGGGTAGCGGCCCAGCCGTGTGGTCTTGCGGCGCCGACACCAGGCGATGTTGGCGCGGATGAAGAGCGTCCCCCAGAGGCCGCCAAAGACACCCAGCAGGACGAAGGGCACCAGCTCGGCCATGTACCATGGTGTGTGGTACTCCACGTAGAACAGCACCAGCCTGTTGTTCCCGAATGGGTTGATGGAGCGCAACGTGAAGGCGGCCACCAGGGCGGCGAAGAAGGACCGCCACAGTGTCTTCAGGGGGAAGTAATAGCTCACCTGGCCGACAACACATTTCAGGGTTTAAAGGGCAATCGATCAGACAGGCGGGTAAAATGCTCCTCCCTTGACTGTGTTATAGGTTGTGGTGCAGCGTACCTCCTCCAAACTGAAGAGAACTCCCCCGATCGGAGCCCCGAAGGCCACGGAGACACCGGCCGCAGCCGCCGCAGACAGAACCTGTGACCAGAGACCCAACGGCCCCCACCAATCAGACACCCTGCATTTCCTGTGCAGGAGGTAAATCACCCTTCAATTATTCGGCCTCTCCAAAATCAGAATAGCCCCATGGCTGCCCTTACCTCCCTACGCTTGCCCTCGTTCTTGCTGTACTTGGAGAAGAGGCTGCTGAAGAGGTTGCCGCAGCAACAGGCGACATGCACCAGCGGTCCCTCCTTCCCCAGACTGAGCCCGGACGACACGGCGAGCACCAGCGTGACCGTCTTGATCAGCAGTGTCCACTTCCCCAGGTATCCGCGGATGATGAAGCCACTGAGGATGGTCTTTATCTTGGAGGAGGACAGTGCATCAGGAAAAATCAGACCATTTTCTCGGCACGAGTAACCCAGGATCACCCTAATCGTAACTTTATTCTCATGAGGACCTGTGGAGACTCACCTCAGGAATGCCTGACCCGCAAGCGTAGGGGGCGAAGACCCGCACCAGAGACACCGCGAGGAAGGAGAAGAACAGTGCCCACAGGACGTACAAGAAGTAGTTCAACACATAAGCTGCTGCCCCCTAGAGGGGAGAAGAAAAACATCTGAAGTGACCATCTTTCAAGGTTTATTGTCCTATAACCAGCCGGGAACAGAAACATCCAGAATATGATCTGTGTGGGAGGGTCTAAACAGGTCAGGGTATGTCCGACAAATTCTCAGCTCCTCAAATGTGCACTGTCCTCGTTCATATGTACACCATTAGAGCTGAAAACTCTTGACACTTATGTTCTCCTTGGAAAAGGTGCACCACAGATAGAGATATCTAACAACCAATCACAACTCAAATGGTAGCAAAATGAACATCTGAATAGGCCAACCTCCGAGGAGCCGGTCATCAGCTCCGCCCACTTCTGCCACTGCGGGCACTTGTCGCGGTCATCATAGGTGGTCTCATTGGAGGTCCAGCAGCACTGCTCGTGGCTGTACCAGAAGACCGATAGGCACACACCCTCCTTCAGGTCTGTCATCCAGTCCACGGCCAGGTCTATGACACCGGCCAGTGTTCCTGAGCAAGGAAAAAGGTTTAGTCTGTTAGCTCCCCGTCAGAACTCCAGAAACACAAATAGTACCTTGGAGGCACAGGGCAGGACACGGTAGCGATTAAGATCATGCATTAAAACCAAATCGTGATGGTCTGGTCAACGGTCAAAGGTCTACCTGGGAATCCCCTCAAAGCAAGCTAAATCTGAGGGCTAAGAGACACCCCATACTCACCCGACAGGAGGCCGATGAGCAGCATGACCAGCCACCCGGACCAGGCATCCAGGAGGCTCTTAATGAAGTCACAGATGGACTCCTTGCTCTTGCTGGTAATCTGAGCAGACAGCAAGACGCTCATTTTATGCAGATTTAGAGGATTAGCGGCACAGGGCGGCACAGCAGTGATTTAAAGACTAACATCTAAATTACAGCCTCTTCGGATAATGCCAGGTGACTGAATGACTAAAGCCAACAGGAACCGATCGATACAACGAAGGGCACTGCAGGGGAGCAGGGCGAGGCTGAGAGGGACAGTGTCCCACATGACAGGACAAGGCCACGGGTCGGTCACACACCTTCCGGTGGCGGTCGGTGTCCCTGGATTTCTCCCTCAGCCAATCGATGGTGTGGAAATCCTCATAGGTCCCGACGTCTGGAAATGGCTCATCAAGTATGTCCATAAGGTTCCCAGAGCCATTCATCTCCTCCCCAGGGGTGGTACTGGGCCCTGCTGTGCAGCAACAATGACAGATGTGTGGCTGCAGCTGGATCTTGATCTCATTTTATAAGTCTGATAATCTGTAACTGGTAGCCTGGTGCGCCACCATCACAATACTTCAGAAGACTAGCAGCCAGCCTCCACAAAAGTAAATTTTACACACATTCATATATTGATCTGAGTATTTATCTGTGATTAAAGAGCGTATGTAGCCCCTTGTAGGAACATTCTCCGACAGAAGGCATCTATACCACTCTCATGGCTCCCCTTAGCCCTGCTGAGGAATACAGGCTTTAGACCTTATTCACACTGCAGCAGAAAATCGAGCGATACGGAGCAGCGGGTAGGAAAAGCCTTTGGCGGACGGGTATTAATATCCACTAGGGGATTTATTAAACATGCGGGGACAGTTTTATCCGGCATAACAGCGCTCATACCCCCCTATGTTATGTACTGCGAGGTGCAGGGGACTTGAACACCAGCAATGCAAACAAACGAGCTAATGTGGTCAGCACAAGCACTGTCGCTTGTAGAATGATGGTTAGACTGTTTATACACCCTAAACTGGACGTGACTTCCATCGGAAAAGCGGTTTCAGTGGTGTTCAGATGCGTATACATCAACAAAAGCCCTGTTAAACTCCCCGTGACAGTCGCTAAGCGCCGAGCCGTCACCTGTTAGCATTAGCATGCTACAGCCTGCGCCGTCCGCTCCGTCACTCACCTTCCGCAGCCATGGCGTCTCCGGACGGTGTTATGAAAGCTTGACGTCACGAAGCTCGTTCCTCGATGTGTCCTTTAACATGCCCAACACTCTCATGCCGAAGTGCAAACGAAGCGCTTTAGTAGCGCCGGCCGATGAAGACCAGCCCACCCCCGTAGCGATTTGAAAGGCGAGCGATCCTACAATGCACCGCGCGCCACAGGCTCCGCTCACTCTGGCGTCCCTGCGACGTGAGCACGCGCTCTCGCTTTCCTCCAAACATCCATCTACGCATGCGTTAAAAAGCAGGCACCGGGCCTGGCGATACTGATAATTGCATCGATTTAGCCGTCGACCACAGCTGTACTCAAAATATCGCTTATATCAAGTTACAGTGTCACCTACGCTCCTATAATTCATCTTATGTTATTTAGTTCTATATCACACTGCATCAGCACGGTGGCCTCTGGAGACCAGGGTTCAAGTCTCCGCCCCGGCTTTACGTGTATGCAGTATGTGCAGTCGTGGGATTTCCTCCGGATTCTCCTGTATGACCACGCAGTCCAAAAACAAGGTGAATGCCCATTGGTGTTAATGGTGTGTGTGCCCTGCGATGGGTTGGCACCCTGTCCGGGGTTATTCCCGCCCTTGCGCCCATTGCTTTCAAGATAATTGCTGGACCCCCGCGATCTTGTATAGGAGAAGCGAGTATATAAAATCGATCGATCGATTAAAAGTTTCTCATTTAATCCACCCAACATTTACAGTCACAACAATTCTTCAAGATGAGTGTATTTTGACTACGTTCGCCGTGCCGAAACGAGTTCCTTCCTCTCCTGTTCTGTACATTCGGATCCAACGGAAGGTTTCCCTGCCACGGAGATGCTTTTATACACCATGAATAACCTTACATATCCCCTTTGTTCAGATGTTTATTTACTGATCTTCACAACAGTGAGAACACTGTAGATGTTATCACAGAAATTACATAAAAGGTTCTGAATACAACGTTTTAATATATATTTATCTATATATCTTAAAGTACACGTAATAATTAATAATTATAATAAAACGACCATGAAAATAATAAAAATGGATTAAAAAAAAGTAACAAACTGGATGTAAGGTTTTCAGAAACAAAAATCAGTCAAGGGTCCATTTCACTGTATGTTAAACACTGAAGTGCCATTTTTTTCAACCATACAAAATTACACTTAAAAGTAGGGAACTTTCCTATTTCCTTCAAGTAAAAGTACTATAAAATAAGTTACAGTACAGTGAATTTGTCTAAACTGACTTGTTCCCATCCTCCAGCCTCACAAGCATACAAACATTAGTAAAATTGTACAAAGCATAAGAAAAACATGTTTTGTTCACTTATAAAATACTTTTTTCTTTCAAAACCAGGAAAAACTAGCCCTGTTGTTATCAATAGATACATAAAACGAAGGCTTGAGTGCATATGATTCAATATCCACTCACCAACATGCCTTGTCCCTAAACTTACACCAAAATAGCCTTAAATTTTCTGAATGATAACTACAGTTTGTTCCATTTACTTCATGAAGTCGAACATGAAAAACTGATACTTCATTTCTGATCACATGTACAGAGGTCAAGATTTCATACATCATCGGCGGGCAGGGGAGGTATGTTGAATCTCGGTCTTGTGAAGAAAGCCATCTTCTCTCTGACAGATGAAAATCAAAATGAAGTACAACCAGTATGTTATTTCGACAATATATTCAATGGTGGAAAGTTCTGGTTCTGAGTGATGGGCCTGGCTCTTAGGTGATACTAGCATGGCAACATCTACTGTACACACTAAGATGGTAATGAGTCCTAACAAGGGCAATCTCTCCTTTCTGGTGTAATCTGAGGCAGGGCTATGTCTTTTTTTCTAAAGCGCTCAGATTAAAACAGGTCAACATAGTCACATGCCCCACATGAAGACAGTGGGCGTTTCTCAGTACCAAGAACGCAAAGATCACACTTGTGGTCTTGACAAGATCGGTCTTGCTAACTCGCCTCCCAAGAATGAACTTGGGACGCAGTGAATCATGGGACTGGTCTTGTTTGGCCAGGAGGCTACTGATTTTTGGGAAGGAGCAAGAATAACATCTGGGGGTTTTTAACGTCCTCTGAACTTCTGTTCTTGAATATTGGAACCGGCAGTGGAGGATGATGTAAAACGAGAACACGAGTATGGTCAAGTATGCATATTGAGAAACGCCCAGTGAAAATCTGTGTGTCTGCTGCCTGTATGGAGCTGATGGGCCATGACTCCCTGCCACCCACCTGAAGGTCTGCACAGGGAAGGGCCCCCTCTGGCTCTGCCCCCTCAGCTGTCGCACGTCTTTGGATGCCTTCCTCATCCTGCCCGCTGCTGCTGTGGAATCCTCCTGCCACGCCTCCCGCTTACCCTGCAGGAAGCCACAACACAGCCCATCAAGCTGGGGTCCCAAGCAGGCTTCAGTGCTTTCAGTTAATCAAGCCGAGCAACCTGAGCTCTGATACACACCAAACACCAACAAAAATGGCTGGCACCGCTGAATCAAACCAATCACAGCTTAGTAAATCAATTTAGTATAAAATCAGACCCAAGCGGATCGCGCTGTGTCCCAACCCCGCCCAAGTCGTTAAGCATCGATCGCGGGCCAGCCTGCGTTACTCTCCAGAGAAAGTCACACGTCAGCGCATTAAGCACCAGAGCAATGACATCAAGCACTATGCCCCCTGGTGGCCGGGCTCAGGCAGCACAGCACCTGTCTCTCGGCCTCCCTCAGGAGGCTGTGGAGCCGTTCATCCCGCAGGGCCCAGTGGGGCAGTTCGGCGGCCTCCCGGCTCTGAGCCTCTTCGAGACGCAGCTTCAGATCCCGCAGGGAATTCAGTTCCTCGCTCAGCTGGTGCTGCCTGGTCCGGGACGCCTGGAGATCCAGCTCCAGGTCCAGAGAGGTGCGGGTGGACTGCTCCGCCAGCGAGCTGCGGCAGGCCTGCTGCTGCTGCCGTGCGGCGCACAGACACACGCATGATTTCACGGGCAGCACTCGCAACTAAAAAGATCACAGCGCAATAATTAGCGTAATTAGCGGCGCGCCGGTGGAGAGCTTCTCGAGCGGTGCACCTGTTTGTATCGCAGAGTTCGCCTTTCAAGGGTGTTTCTGATGAAGGGGGATTTTTTGGGCAGCGTGGAGCTGTCGCTGTCGCTGCGGTACAGCTGGGGGAGGCAGACGGACAGTGAGTGGCACATGGGGGGGGGGGAGAGACTAGCATGTACGTGCACGTGTGCGTGGACTTACCCTGCACACATACTGGCTGCGTGCGCCTGGCGAGAAGGTCTGCGAGCGGACGATGGTGCTGTTGCGCATGAAGGGCAAGGCCTGGCCACAGCGCCCCCCTCGCTCCTTGGGCCGCACCCGCACCGGCTCAGGGAGGGGCACCTCAGTGTTGGTCTCCTTGTCCACCTGCCCAACAATAACGGCATCAACATCACCGCTGCACCCCCGCCCCCTCCCCAAGGGCTTGGTGGTAAGGCAAACTGATGTCTGGTTACCTTGAGTGAGTGCAGCCTGTGGGCTGGATGGATACAGCGCCCCCCAGTGGTGATGCAGATACCATCCACGCACAGTCCCTCGGTGTATTGCATCACGAACGCCGTGCTGTTGCTGCAGCCACTGTCCACCGACTCTGCCTGCCAGCTCCTGAGAGACACACCCCCGCTTACTTACAGTATAGCCAACCCAAAACTGGTAATAGCAGGGTGGCAGTCTGGGATTGTCAGATGGTGGGGGCCTACCTCTCCGATGTTGCCTCCCCCTGCTCCTCCTTCCTCTCCAACTCTTGTTCCAACTCCCCCAGTAGGGCCAGCACAGGGTCCTGGGCAAGAGGACAGAATGGCATTAGGCATGTATGCCCCCTAGTGGCAGGGTGAGTGGCTATTCAACCAACATCCAAATCCTCACTAAGTCTAAATACAGCCTGGTCACTAACCGTAGTCTTGGCATCCTCCTCCCCCACGCCGAGTGCCTTGGGCATCTTGCCCTCCCCGGCACGGGAAGCCTCAGTGCCGCCTAGCATCAGGATTCTGTGCCACTGGAACAGCATCTCAGTGGCACCCACGCAGTCCGCCAGGCTGATCTGCAGCATGCCCTGCAAGCACACACACACACACACACTCACAGGCTTTAAAACTCACAAACAGCCAAATGAAGTCCTCTCTCCGTGCAACGTTTAGCTCACCAGCGGTTCCTCGGGGCCCTGGGGACCCACAGCGCAAATGGACAGCAGCAGGGGCCGAAGACCCAGGGTGGCGGCGCAAGCCGGGATTCGGAAGCCCTCGTTCAGGCTCAGCTGGCCCTGCGGATCCTGGGCCCGGGAGCAGTAGCGGGTCCCGGTGCCGCCGCGGCCGTGCTCAGCCGGGAGCAGGCTCACCCTGACATAGCTGTGTGCAGCCAAAACAATACATGTCACTCGGACTGCCCGCCATCGCGGAGTTTCAAAAAACACACAGTGCCTACTCACACTTTGCATCCGGGTTTTACGACCACAACATTAAGGTTCCTCAGCAGGAGCAGCTGCACCAGGAGGCTCTCACTGGCAATGTCGAACCTGGAGCCGGAACACTGAGCAGTGAGGAACAGCCCGGTTGTGGGGGGCAGACAGACGGAGTATTCTATACTCACAGGAGCCCCAGCTGGATCTGAGCAAGTTCTGCTGCGGTCCCATCGTTGACGTATAACACCTCTTCCGGGTCGTCCGTTCTGGAAAGAGAGACAGAATCAGGGGATGGAGAAAAGCAAAAAAAAAAAAGGACTGAAAATAACTGAAAAGAGCATAAAGTAAACAGGATCCTGTATTTGATAAGCAGTACAGAAGGAGGATGGAAGAGAAAAAAAGAAATACATTCTAGTAACATCCGATTAAAAGTCAAGGAAAAGTTAGGGTGCATTTCCACTGCACCAGGTACCGTACTTTTGGTACTTCAAAAAAAGTTCAGTACTTCAAGGTGTTGGCTTTTCACTGGCATAAAAACTGATACTGGTGTTGAATGACATCATAAGACGAGGCGGGGTATTTTGTGCTGAATTTGAAAAATGGTTATAGGGCAGGGTGATGTGCAATATTAACACCAGCCTCACATGTTATGTACATGCAATTCTCACATTGCTGGGACCAACATAGTCAGCTGGGTTGAAATCAGGCTGTTTCGTACCTTCATTTTTACTCAGTCATAGGAAACAACATGTAACACGCTTATATATATAAAAAATCAGTTTAAAGTTTTTCTCCGCTGCTTTTGCATGAGCGCTGCATGTGTTCTCCGAGACAATCCTAATTATTTTCATCCTTGCTGTTTAAATCACTCCTAAACAAGTTTGTAAGAAATTTAATGCAATATTTATTTCAACAAAATCATATCGCAATATTTAAAATCCGTCCAATATCGAGCAAATGGCTTTTTACTACTTGTCATGCCATCGTGATGAATCTGTTATTCCGACCAAATTGCAATTAAATCTTCAGTTTCTTCATTTGACTAAGCATCTATTATTATTCCTTATTTCTTTTTACTTTGTTTATCATTGATTTTTGAGATCATAACTATGCTTTTTCAGGATGGCGAATGTATTTTGAGTTTGCAAGGCAGGTTATTTGCATAACCAATCGACGATAAACACATTTGCAAGATCCAACCCCAAGTACTGAAGTACCAGAAAAGTACCCCAGCGGGTTTGGTACTTCAGTACTGGTACCAGACCACAAATAAATGGAAAATGGAAAAGCACAGAATTTTTTGTACCAAAGTACAGTTCCTGGTGCAGTAGAAAAGTGCTTTTGCCGATTACATTCTAGGGGGGGGGGCAGATTTTTCCGCTGCCACCAGAGGGCGCCCCCTCTGCCTTTGCTGTGTGAGGAACTCCTGAGGAGAAAAGTTATGACGGGGCAGAAATTCTGCTTCCACTGACCTCCTGCTCCAGGCCTCAAAGACGCCACTGTCTGTGGCCAGCACCTCGTCCGACACCCCTGCGGAGCCCCTCCTCGTTCGCCGCCCGACCCGGTTCCCGCCGTTACCGCGCAGCGTTACTCCTGCAGCACAGGCCTGTGGTTAGCGACGGCTACGGCTACGGCTGCGAGAGCCAGCACTCGAGAGAGAGGCGCGGACTCGCCTGTGCTGCTGCAGGCCCCCTGGGCTCCATTGTCCCTGGGGCTCTTGGCATCCAGTAGGTGTGACATGGCGGCCCCCTGCCCCGTGTCACCCAGCACCGAGCCGTGACCGGGGGGGGGCAGGGTTTGGCCGCGCAGGCCCTCCACGATCCCGCGGCCAGCCAGTTCTAGATACTCCTCGGCCCTCAGGGCGACAGAGCTGTCCTGGTGGTATGGCACGTCCATGGGGGAGCTGGGCGGCGACAGGGAGGAGAGCGAGGACCGCGATGACAGCGAGGCCAGCGACTGCGGCGTGTCCTGCGAGCGCCGGGCCTTGCTGTCACGGCACAGCGCCTCGGGGTGTAGAGGGTAGCGGGGGTGGGGGTCCGACTCAGCTGGCGCTGCTGCCGCCTCAGCCCGCTCATACTGCGGCGGCCCGTAGATGTCGCTGAAGCTGACGGAGCTGAGCGAGCCGCGGCTGGACGTCAGGGATCCGCGGCTGGAGGCCAGAGAGCCGCGGCTGCTGCCCGATGAGGCGGTGAGGTTGCTGGCCGACAGGCTGCCAGGGAGAGAAGCCGGAGAGAGACTCAAGGCCGATTCGTACATCACTTTTCCACGTGCGCTTTGATTGCGAACGAGGGGACGTGACATCAATTTCAACATCAGGGGTTGGCTGCGGACAGCTGCGGTTGGTGTAGCCCAGATTTGTATGTCTAGCGGAAACCATGCATGTCCATGCGCATCGATGCCGCATCGGTCGCAGCAAATTTTGCCATAAGGATTTCAAAATACTACGGTATGCATTATTACTGTACCACTGCCCAAGCCTTCACTGATAACTTTAAAACTGTTCATAAAAGTTCCCAATTCTCTACCCTGTGCTTGTTGCAGTACATCTGCCCTCTGCTGGCCTGGTAGGGTATCACTGCTCTATGCATGCACCAATCGCGACCATTTAGCTAAATGTAGCATGAACACAAGCTGCAACCATCCAGAGCCCAAAAGCGCACGAAAGCACATGCGAAAAAGTAAAGAATGAACTAGGCTTCAGCCTCAGGGTGAGCTCAGAGCCCTGCTCATGGGATGGCGCCCTCTGCTGGATATCGTGCCCCACTGCACCACTGTTCATTTTCCTCAGCAATACTAACAGCTGAATTCCTGCCTAAAATAAAGTCCCTGTAACAGCATTAACTTTATCTGAGCACCCCCTCCCCCCCCATGGTAAAGCTCACTCTCCTCTGAATTCCCCGTCTTGTGAAATCACAGCCACAAGACATGATTCACACACTGGGAATAAAACATGAGACGGCTAGTTTATATGTCAGTTTATATCCATGTACACATTCACGCAGCGTCATACGGTAACTGGGCCAGTTCAGATTAAACATTTTAGGGCACAAAAGCAGGAGCACTTTTAGAATTTGGACAATTCTGATAAATCTTAAGGAATACTGTAAAAGAAAGAAATTTTCCACAAATTTCTTCACCGGGTAAATAAAAATACAGTGATGTATTCCAAACTGACCAGTGTGTCACTAAGTACCCCCCCTCTTCGAGGGCCATGTTTTCTGGGAACACCTCTGCTAACCCCCTGGACCACTGACCCGCTCCATTTCATTGGCTAGCCCTCAGTTCTGGTCTCTTGGCGACGCTCGATGCTCTTGTGTTTTCCGTGAGTCTGGAACACACCTAGTTTCCACTGTATTGCTGCCTGAGCAGAGCTTATGACTTTATGTTCTTGCAGTGTTTTGTGATGCACTGTACAGCTGCTGTTCCAGTGCTGTCTGGCCCTTTTCACTGGTTTCTTGTTGGAATCTCAGCCTAGTGGCTCTCAGGCCGGCTCCTTATTGGCCGCGTTCCTGTGGTGTCGTATCTGATAAATGACCGTAAGTGCAAACGGGTGCCCGTGCCCGTACCCACGCCCGTACCCATGCCCGTACCCGTACCCACGCCCGTGCCCGTGCGTCCGGACGGCAGCTCACCTCTTCAGCTGTGAGTGCAGGTAGGTGGCGATGCGCGACGCCTCCTCCAGCTGCAGCAGAAGCATGTTCCGCTTCTCCTGGTGCAGGATCCTGTTGTGAAGGGGAACTGAATCAGCTGCTGAATGGAGCCGAACTGGCGACATGTCCGGCCGCCTTCATCATGAATGAGCCCCCAGGCTGCTTATCAGACGCTCCTGTGTCCCACTACGCTGTACTCCGGTCACCCGCCCTACTCCGCCACCCGCCCTACTCCGTAACCCGCACTACTCCGCCACTCGCACTACTCCGCCACCCCACCCAACTCCGCCACCCGCACTACTCCGCCACCCGCCCTACTCTGGCCACCCGCCCTACTCCGCCAGGGAAACCACTGACCTTTGGTTGGCGCCCTGGCTCTGGACAGCGTGCGCCCTCTGCACCTCCTCCTCCAGCCTGCGACGCTCCTCTTCCAGGTGCAGGAGGCTCTCGAGGGGGCGCTGCTGCTGGCTGACCAGGGTGATCTCCTGCAGCAGGGCTTCCTTCTCGCGCAGGAGCTGCATGCAGTCTCGGTCCCGATCCGCCTCAGCCCGGCCCGACCAGCTCTCGCTGTCCAGCTGGGCCAGCTGATGCTGGAGGCTGGACACTCTGAGAGAGGAGGAGACATGAGAAGGAGAGAGAGGAGGTCTCCAGGAGGAGTATTAACACCACAAGTGTGTGAATCTCCTCAGATAAGATCGTAAAACTTCTCCATTACAGTAAAAACAACATGGCTACAGGTACTATTCCTGTAAAAAAAAAAACCTTATAAGTAGAGGTACAAGTACAAGTTACATGGCTGAATGACAGACTTCAACACGCGTGTCCTTGGGGGCTGCAGAGCAGACATTCAGGACCAGGTTTTTGGCGCAAGATAGATGCTGCACAACGTGTTTGTGTTGAGGCGGAGATGCTGTGATTCAGAGGAGCGGCATGCGAGCTTCTGCAGGTCTCCCCGACGTCTGCACTAGCGCGCGCTGCAGCTGTGTCGCCATGGCAACGTCCAGAGCTTGGCGCTCTCATAAGAAACGCAGCAATAAGGCTCTGCTGCCGCCTCGAAAGACTCCCAGCATGCAGTTCTCCAGCTTACACCAAACCGACTCACAGGTGCTCAGTGGCTTCTGACTGCACGTTTAATTTAGCGACGGGACGTTTTCAATGAAGTTAGTGCGAAATAGATGGTCGGCATCAGAGAATGCAGAACTTTCCAGAGCATCGCTGTCATTGAATCATCTAATGTTCTGGCTAAGAACTGGAAAACCAAAGAGAAAGAGGAGAACGGTATGGCCGTATGCAAAGAACAAAGGAGAATCCCCTCACTGTGGAACCCGCGCCAGGCCCCATCAGTGCCCAGCTTAAGCCTATCAGACGGGCCAATTCGGAAATCCATGGTATTTCTTCTGGGTCTGTGATCGATTCAAGAAAACTCACCCATGGGGGCTCACACGAGCGTGCACGATAGTGCGAACCAGCGCCTGTAAATACAGATGTTTCCATGTGTGTGTGACGGCCCCGACGGGCCACTTGCCCCGGCTGACGTGGGGCAGAACAGGCCGCGCACTGTCAGGCAGGAATGCTGGGAAACGAAGAATGTGACCGACAGGCGGAAAAGCCAGAAACGGGCCATTCAGAGCAGCCGCCCCCCCCCCCCCCCCACCTAAAGGCACAGCTCTCCACCACACAGTGACCACCCACTTCTCAGCTCACCGTACACCCCCCCCCCATTCAAAGAGTAACAGTAATTCTTCAAGGAGAGGTAAGACTCATAAAACTAACTGATTAAGATGAAGGTGAAGACAAACCAGTATAACCAGTGGCATCAGGACAAGCCGCCCATGACTTACTTTTTTTTAGCCTCTTCATACTGCCAGTTCAGGCGAACTTTGTCCAGCAGTGGCGAGAATTCCTGGGAGGCAAGCTGCAGTGGGGAGAGGGGTTGGGGGGGCAGGTCAGTCCCCTACACCGAGGACCCCCCAAGTACAGGCAGCTACAGGCCTAACTCGCCTCGAGATCCGAATTTAAATCACGGGGACAAACCAAACGCTCACCCTCCCCACCACAAAAACACACGATCCTTCCTTTGCCCATTTAAAGGTCCACCGGACGCCACCTAGTGGTAGCGGAGGGGCCCACGCACCTCACCCACGATGTCCGTCTGACAGCCGGCGTCACAGTACCGCTGAGCCAGACAGGGGCCCCCGGCACCATCCAGCAGGGTGTCGCCCAGACCTGAGCCGCCACGGAAACTCAGCGTGAGCTTGGCGAGACTCTGGGGGGGGATGGGTGGGCGAGAGAGACACAGCGATGACATCACTGAAAAGACATTTGCTATGTTGACTTATAGCCAGAGGACGCCGTGGTCACTGCAAGCAGGCGCCTGGCAGGTGAAGCCACACCTGGATGAGGTCCTGCCTCTCCCTCTCGCCCGTGCTGATGGACTTCTTGATGCTCCGCAGCTCGCTGAGGATGGCCTGCGCTTCGTCCAGCTTGTAGCTGGTCTGTCCGCTAGACATCTTCCTGTCGATCCTGGCGGGGGGGCACACGGGGACAGACAGATGGCTGCCTGTTAACGTGTCATTAAAAACTGCCCCCCTCTATTTCTAACCATATTCAGAATTTTTTCCTCCCATTACAGAAACAAAAAGCATTTTAATGTTATACTGAAATAAGGCACATTAGTTAAATATAACTTTGTTTTATTATTTTATTTATTCAAATAATAAGCAGGCTTGACTACCCAAATAAACACGGTGGGTCTATATAAAGGCATGGATCCCATCCCATGCAAACCTAATGCTTTTTACACAAGAATTTGAGCCACACCCTCCCCCACACACGCGAGTGCTGGGCAGTGACGTCGCTGAGGCCTCACTCCGGCACACATTCGGGGCCCCCCCACACTCGTGCGAGGGTGCTGCCACAGGCGCTGAAACACCAAGGCCAACTGCGACCTAGAACACGGAACGCAGAACCCCCGGCGGGAATAATAAAACGCACGTCGTTTGGACAAAAGATACAAAATCATCCTGTTATTTAGTTTTACATGCTAGCAGAAGACCCCCCCCGCCCCCCCCCCCCCCAGTACATTGTGCTCCCGCCCCAGGGAGGGCCGTCATAGAGATTAGGGGAGTTAGCATATTTCCAAGGGCCCCTGAGTGACAGGGGACCTAAAAATTTGGAACATAATTGGATTGGTCTGGGAGGGGGCCCGATATGATGCTTTCACAGAGCACAAAATCTCTAGCTGCACCCCTACCCACAGGACCCACAGACTCAGGGGTATATTTAGGGGTGAAAGGCTGCATGGCAGAGGATGTCTGCTGGGACAACCTGAGTATTACCAAGGCGTCTCCCATGTATAACCAGAATCACAGGTGAGACATTCCTTCTGGTGTGACTGGAAGGATGTCCCTCCACTATAACCAGAATGACGGGCACCGAGAGGCTCCCCCGCTATAACCGGAATGACGGGCACCGAGAGGCTCCCACACTATAACCGGAATGACGGGCACCGAGAGGCTCCCCCGCTATAACCGGAATGACGGG